AGTACTTCTCAGTAGTAACACACAGAGAGCACTTCTCAGTAGTAACAACTGTATGTGCCCCATTCCATTTTCTAAATTTTGATATTGTTATAGAATTATCTTCCAAGAAGTAAATGTGAAAGACAAAAGTGAAAGATAACTTACATCCAGAAGTTTCCTATACTCTGGAGGAATAGTTCCTTCTTTTATACCCAATGCCTCAATGAAGGTAGAATCCATTGGGTCCTGGAAGAGAATCATTCATAAAGACAAATGATGCAGTTAATCTGATAAGAATGATAAGTGAAACCAAAGTACTATTCCAGTGCTGATCTTTCTGTATCTATTGATATGAAAAGAAATCATTCAGAAGTTAAAATCTAACCCTAAAATTCTACGTGCACACTAACAACTGTTTAATTAGGTTTAGAGGGAGCACCTGCACTTCAATCCACCATCTCTATCATTTTCTATTGAATTACCTTTTTCTCTGGGATTTCTTTTTATTTTTTTATAAACTCTAGAAGTAAATGTTTTGTAACTTTTGAAAATATTTTCATTTATTCTATGGTTTATTTTTATACTGTGACACATGTAGTTTTATCACTGACTACAAACTGAAGAGAATATTTTAAAAATATTGCAAATGTAGGAATTCATGAGAAATATACATTATAATTTTGCATGTTTTCATATCTATATAAACAGTATTTTGTTGCTCTGGTTTACTTTATTCAGAATCATGACTTTGTAATATAACCATGTTGATACATACGTAAGTCATTTTCTTTTTTTTTTTTTTTAGACCTTTTCTTGTTTTTACTGAACATTTATATATCTTCTTTACAAAAATAGCTAGTAAGGCAGGGTCTTATTGGGTTTTTATTACTGGGTTCTAAGTACCCTTCAGATATTGCAGATAAAAGTTTCCTATGAGATATATAATTTATTTATTTTTATTTTTTTATTTTTTAAATTATTTATTTTTATTTTTTATTTTTTAAATAATTTATTTATTTTTTCTCAAATCGTAATTCATTCACACAGGGGTTATAAACACAGAAAGGCAGGATGTAGGGAAGGGGATGACACTGGAGTATGGGTGTTCAGGGAGAATACAGATATCTTCCAGAACCGGATATTGGCTGGGTGAAGGTTCAGGGAACAGGTCACTATGACTCTGCCTATGACTCACTTGTCCTTATCTAAGTTGGTATTCTTTGCCAAGGCTACCTATTTACAAGGTCTATGACTACTCGGGCTGGTAAACTTCCACAAAAGCTGCCTGTTTACAATAGCTTATAGCCATCTGTTTCAATGTTTTTCCACAGAGACCCAAGACTTGGTATTAGTATACAAGTATGACAGGCCTATTGCTGCTTTTAGGCCTATGGGTGATTTTAGGCCTTCAGTGTGTAATCAGGGCTGCCCCTGACAACTCCTCCCTTCTCTAAGTATAGAAGGGCTGTGGCAATTCTAATCTTGCAAAGGAGGGGATAGAGGCCTGACCTCCAGTAATTGAAGGGGACCTTGTAATGGCTCCGGTCCCCCTCATTTTCTTTTTCAAAAGCACTGAATAACTTCCTATTTTCTGTTGACCACATTGGTTTCAAATGTTCTGCCATTATCCTTTACTGTATACAGAGGCAAGGCTTCCAAGATCTCTCTGGAGGGGTTTGTGACTGAAGGGAACATCTCTTTAGAACCTAATGCCTAAATTGACCTGTCAGATTCTTAAACCTTTGGCAATCTGGTTGAGTCAAAGGCACCATGTCATGCTTTATGCTATTTTCCTAATTTCCTGGTAGACTCTTACACTATTTGTTCATTAATTCTCTATTGAGTTGTCTTTGTCTCTGTTTTTCTATTTATTGTAAACTATAGAAACAAATATTTAATGGCATCTGTTGAAAATGTTTTCATCTATTCTACAACATTTTTAACACCAGAAAAAAATTACATTGTTCCTTGGAAATCAAGAATAGATTAACATAGTATCATAAGGATCTAAAACTTATTTTAAGTTCAAGTCTACTGCATCAAATCTAAAGGACAGAAAACAAGACGTTCTGACCTAGTCAGTTCTTTCAGTGAGAGTTTTAGCATTGCCAGACATATTCTGAATCAAAGCAACTGTGTAGTGTCACAAGGCAGACCATTTCTACCCTCACCACTGAGTTTGGATTTTAATTTCAATTCCGATACCCTCCTGCTTCTATATAATCAACAGAAAAGGATATGCAGTCCTATGTTTGATAGTCACAGCTTTATTTGCTTTCCTACCCATTAACAATGAATGCTTACTGCCACCCAACACATACCAAAACTACTGGTCCAGTGTATGGTGGATCATCTTTGTTAGTATCTTCAGGTTCACCTAAGGTGTCTATCAGGTCATCCAAGGCAGCATCCATGCCTGACTAGAAATGGAAGAGATAAGATATGTTATTTGGTAGATATAATTCCCTTGATTTTTAACTACTAAAATGTATCAAATACTGTAACTTTTCCAAGTCCAAAAATAGTTAAAATGTAGTTCATTTTTAATATGAAGATGCAGAGTCCAAAATGTCAATTGGAAAAATAAAAAGCCACATTCAGGTAAGAATCATCATTTCAAAAAATTCCAAGTCATTAACTACAGCAACAAAGGTTCACAAAAGCTACCAAGCCACTGTATTGACTGACAGTCAAGAAGGAAAGAGACCAAGACAATGCAAACATGAGCCATATGGTACTTGTTGCTTTTTAGTATCCCTCATTGTTTCATTCTAGCAAAATCTGTAGACAGCAACTCTTCCAAAAAGAAGTTAAAAAAAATTCTTGTATTTTTCCATTCTTTAATGAGCATTGTTGTTGTTCACAGACTTGCCCAAAAACAACCCTGTAGAGAAATTATGTGAGATCAATCCTAAAGACATGAATTGCCAGTTTAGTTTGCCAACATAAACTTAACATATTAATGAGAGGTTGCTGTCACCTTATTCTGTAGTTATGAATAGCTCATTCTGCACAGGCACCTAACGTAAAAAACAGCCCCTGTCTTTTCACCTTGGGCATCTTTTCTGCTGTTTCCAATAGCACATAAACTCTGTATATTCCTGACTTATGACCTGTATGACACTTACTACACACCTCAAACTTAAAAGTGTCACTGAATATGTCTGATGGTTTCCTTTTACAACTATCACAATCCTAAAATGGTCTTAGGATTCATTGGATTATTGATATGTGTAACAGAAACTAGGGCACATTAGCTTTAGACTATTTCTACCTTTTTATTATTACTGTGGTTTCTTGTGGGAGGGGGATAGATTTTTTTTTAAGTACCTTATATTCTTTACCAATAGAGAGCCAATACAGAATACTTAGACAACCCTTAGATGTCCCCACTCTAAAACCAAGATACTTGCTAAGTCTCAAACAACTATGCATGTTGCTAAAGAACACATTATTTCCAGAAGAGAAATGTAGGGCAGTGGGCTGTGAGAGGCAGCTGGGTACCTGGTCAAGCACAGGTCTCAAACCTAGGATAATACCCTAATGGGATGGTTGGTGTTCGGCCTTGCTCCTGGCCCCTGGTTGCTTTCACTTATCCACAGCCCCTCCTAAAGAAAGGTTTGTGGCCTTAGGTCAGGTAACACAGGTAGCACAGGCATGACCACAGGCTGTATAGCCTCAAGAGATCTCCATATTAATGAGATATCTAAAGGCCAGGAGGCATAGCCAATTAAGGATTCCTTCCAAGATCCTCCTCCATGCAAAAGATATTTAACCTCAGGCCCACCCTGAGGACATGGGGTATAGCTTCATTCAACTTTCTCTCATTACAATAAACCTTTTAAAACCATGGACTTCCTCGAGTCCTTGGGGCCCTCTGTGGAGAACCATAGGGGGGTTTCAACCAACAAGCTACTGCCTATTCTCCTGCCAGAGGACCTCTCTGCATTCCAGCCATGGAGGCCACCAACTCAAGCAAGTTAGCTGAGCCAGCCATGACCTAGCCAAGCAAGTAGCTGTGACCAAGTGTCTCACTTCCCAGCAGAGTGCGGAGCTTCTGTTACGTTCCCCTCGGCTGAGGCCGGTCCAGCCTGGATGCTCCCAGTCCCAACCACTGGGAACCCAGGAGTCTGAAACCAGTCAATCTCTGGACAGGGTCCCCACCCAAGAGCTCTGCCCCCACGGGTCTCAGACTGTGATCTCCCCATGCCCGGAGTGGAGTTCTGCATCTTCTTATAGCCCAGCATCTGCCTGGTGCCCTGGCAGACACGCAGGACTCACAACTCAGTGCAACAGGACCCACACCCATGCACAAGTTACAACCCCACAGAGAAACTATAAATGAACTTGGTGAAATAAAACTAGAATTTTCAAAACAGAGGCTTATACCATAAAATGGTACAAATAGTGTGATGGTCACATTATCAACTCAGTCATAACTTTTTAAATTTTAAGTCATTACATTTTTCCTTTAAAACAACAAGAAATCAGGCTGAGACAGGCAACAGAGGATACATGTCTGATGATGAAGTGTCATTTGGTCTCCATACCTTATCAGAGGGCTTGTTCAGTGGGGACTCCATAGGTAAAGCTGGAGTTAATGATTTAGTCTCTTTTTTCTAGAGGGAGTGTAAAAGGACTTTAAAACCTTTCATACACCTTTATTCATATATTATTCAAATATTAATAGCCTAGATCATGTACTAGTCCCATGATCAGCTCTGGATGGTAATAGCAAATGCTTCAAAACTGCTACACACATGAAGCCTGTTTAGTGACAGGGAAGAGAGAGTTAGAGAGATCAGGCTCAAAAAGGAAAACAAATGTATCTGATTTGTGATAGACTGGTTTAAGGACTGATAAGTCAAATGAAAGATATGAAGAAAGGCAATTAAAATGCTGTTTGGTATATGGAAGAGATGGAGGTTAAGAGAAGGGAGAAGAGGGCAGGGAAGGGAGACAGAAGAGAATAGGAAGGAAAAGATCAAGAGGAAAAGAGGAAGGAAAATAGTAGAGATGAAGTGACTTTCCCTGGGTTACAGAGCTAGGAACAAAACCATGATCTGCACCAGGATTGCCCGGCCCTTTGTCCACCACACTTGTCCTGGGCCTTGAAACCCTACAAGTTGTTTCCAAAGCTGCTTCTGGTAGCTGCTGTTCCCTGTGTCTTTGTTTCTGCTCACCAGGACAGCTGTGTTTCTTGCCTTGGTAGCTCATAGTTCTTTTCTTGATTTTCCTCATATATATTCTCCTTTTACTATTAATTACTGCAGTTCCTGCAGCTGGAAACTTTTCAACCTGCAACCTTCCTGCCTCCATCCAGATATAACCTCTGAAGATGACCCTGGGGAGCACCACTGTGTCAGTTCTTGTCTCCCACATCTGCCACAGCAAAGCAGCATTCTGATTCTGCCCTTGTAATGCCACCTTGTGCATCTCTTCTGCTGTTTCCAGTAGCACATACTCTATATTCCTGACTTACAATGGTGGTCTATGCCAAATCCTCTAGGGACAGGGAATCTTGGTAGGAATTATATTGGTTAAGTTATTTCATTTAGAACCTTCCTGGGCCATGTACCATTTGAACATATCAATTTCAGGCAGCAAATCTCAAACTGCCTGAATTTGTATACCAGCAGTGACATACACAGGTGCTTGAGAATTATAAATCACTTCCCTTGTCCTGTGTTTTCATAGTCATATGAGGACAATGATGGTAACTACCTCGGGGTTACGAAGGTTATGTTAATGTTTGATAGTTGGTAAGTATGATGTAAGCACTTGCTATATAATTAAACACCAAATTAGCAACTTCTATGATTTTGGTGCTAAGAACATGGTGCCAGGTGCAAGCCAGAGTCTGAGCATCTGAGCCCCTTCCTAGAGTCAGCTGCCTCTTTGTGTAGTTGTGTGCACACTCACAACTCTTCCTCATCCCTTTTCCTGTCTCATCTTTTCCTTTCTATCTCCTGTATCTCCATTCCCTCCTCTCTCTCCCACTTCTCTTCTACTGTCTCCCTTTTTCTGTGCACCACAAAATACATTAATTATTTTGCTATATACCTTTCCTTAGGCCTGCCAAACATTTAAGTTCAGTCTAGCCCTAATCAGGCACAGTCCTTTCTCCACATATATTCTATAAGCTTCTGCTGATTTCTCAAAGTAACCAGAGGTCAAGCACAGTGCTGTAAATCCACCACTCTACTCCTAAGCAGGCACTTGCTCTCAGTGTTGACCCTGTGCTTGGACCACATACTGAGAACCTCCAAAAGCTTGGTGCTGTGGCATCTATCTTGTCTTACTTCAGTGTCATCAGCCTACTTATGCCTTATTCGGAAGCCCTAGCACATTGTACATTTTCTTTACCTCTGCCCTCTTAGGCCAACTCTTTCCTAAATCTGAATGTTTTGCCTCTGCAATAACTGTGAATAGCTCTCCTATTTTCTTCTATTATAGTTCTAAGTTAGCTACATAATGACTCACCAGCACCACTGAAACAGCCCTAAGCAACCTGCACCTTCCTGTCACTACCCACAAGCTCCTAAATTCTCCACAGCACCCTTAACCTGTCTTTCTGGTCTTACAGCCACCTCTGGACTTTGTGCTTTCTGACACTAGAATGTGCTTCTGCCCAGAACTCATCTGAAACTGCTCAACACCTCAAAGTGTTTGCAAGCCTGGAATGCCAGATGTCCTGCAAAAACCAGGAGCTCTCTCTTGAAGTTCTGTGAGTTCCCTGAGCCAGATGGAATCCACCTTTCCTCATAAAATGTTTCTCTAGGTGGGGGCTGTTCTTAATGTGGCCAGCACATTCTCCAGTCAACTCTAATGCTACAAAGCTGCCACATACTAAAACAAGACAGGTTTGATTAGTCCTACTGAGATGGGTATGAATCAGGAGTAAAGTAAAATCAAATACTTATGGAAAGTCCAGAATCAAGCCAATCAATAACAGAATTCCACGTAACCTTTTCTCGTTTGGATCATTTAGCTTTTACTGATAACATGGGCTAGTTAATTGCTAACATCAAACCTCAAATTTTGAATATACTTAAAAGTTTGTGTTGTAACATATCTAGTTAAATCTACTTTTTTCAAACTAGTTCATTTAAATACACACTAGATTGGTCACAAGATTTCCCAGGGTGATAGTAAGGTCTTGAGATAATATACAAGTAATCTATCACAAAACCCCTCATATGTGAGTTTTTACATAAAAGCTTTTGTAAGTTTGGTTAAAACAATATGCCTGGAATCTCAAGATCCAAGGAAGCAAGATGTTTCAGAAAATTTTACCTTTTTCTGTGACTTTCTGCACACACTCAGACTGCCATCTGAAGCTCCTCCAATGCAGGATCCCTGGGACTAGTCAACACATCTAGAATCATGCTATCAACTCACACCCTTGCTGTGTTGTGACTTAGTGTCAAGGCTGCTGTAGTGAACATTCAAAGCTGAGCATAATGCCTACTCAAGCATTCATGAAAGTTTTATGTCCTTGATTTCATACCTGTGAACCTGGAAGGCAAGGCCTGACCCAACTTATATTTTAATTTCTTTGGTGTTAATATCAGGTCTTGGAAGTCAGATGTCCAATAAGTATTTACTAGATACATACATTTCAAAATTTCCTCTCTGGCTCATGTTATGTCTGTATATGTGTGCTCACCTTACCAACCACCTTGTCTGAAGCAGTGGCCAGAGTCACACCTCCAGCCACACTCTTTCCACCAGCAGAAGGACCATCTTGAAATTTTGTCTGAGAACAGAGATATAAGAGTGACAGGATTAAGTATCTTTGACTGTGATCAAGATCATGAGCTTCAAATGTCACCAACATTTGCCAGTTTGTTCTCACAAAATCACTGTGGAGTTTGCTAGTTTTCTTCTGCAAAGTTGTGTGCAATATAGGGCTGGTCTCAAGAGCCTACAGGGTCCATTTAGATCACACAGATGTGAAAACATCATTACACCTGGCCAGTGAGCTTAGTGTTCTGTGGCACACTGTATCCCACAAAGGAATTGTGACACTCCTCTCCCACTGCTGTCATCTGAACCCAATTCTTCAGATAGTCTGATTTTTAACAGAAGCTATAAATTGAGATTTTATGTGAAATGCCCTGACATCTTTACCTAATTTAAAAATAATTTTAAAACAGTTAAAAATAATTTCCAGCATAATTGTAAGCCAAACAAACAATGTGTTTATATTTAACTGCTGAATCACATATTTGTAAACTCTGATATAAAATGTATTTTGAAGTAGGCCTAGTTTTATCTTCCAAATATTCTCAGTGAGAAGCTTCTCATACATTTCTTTTTCTAAGAGCAAAGTGTCTTTAATTGTGTAACTACAGAATCAATTTCTGAGTTTAGGTTTCATGTGTTCATGTATTCTACAAGATCATAAAAATGCTTCAAGACTTCTGTGTAAAGAAGCAGAAGGAGTCAGGTATTCTGTGGTTCCAGTTGCTTTGAAGACTGAGGCAGGAGAATTATTAGAGGCCATGGATTCAAGAATAGATGGAACACACACACACACACACACACACACACACACACACACACAGAGTGGTGGGAGAGAGCAACATACAGACAGATGAATAGACCCAGAGAGACAGAAAAAGAGAGACAGAGAACAAGAAGTATGAGCAATAGTTCCCTGGTTGAAGTTTATAGGGGCCTAGAAAACAACTTCATTTCAAAGTTTTCTGCTTGGGAGACACCAGAGTCATTGACTGGCCACGATGGGCAGCATGAGAAGGCTAAACAGTGCATTTGCCTAAATCTACCTGCTGGCCTTCATTAGGGACTCCATTATCCCATATTCCCTACAGTGCTTCTTGCAAATCCAAAGCAACAACAGCATTGTGTCATTACAATACCAAATGCATTCAGTGCAACCTCAAAAATTCAACTGTACACTTTGGGCCAATAGGGGCCACACCTAATAATAAGTTGATATTAGTGTCTTCATATTTATCAAGCTCACCTTTGATTCTGATGATTTCTCTGACACCATCTGTTCCTTTGATCTGGAAAGTGCTTTTTCTTTATGAGCATGCTTACTTCCTGTATCTGATGTATGCTTGGGAAGATTTTTGGGCTGAAAGCACATAGATATATTATCAACATGATGGCAGTTTAAAGCAGTTTAGATACTTTTCTTTATAGAATAAAAGCTATGTATAACAGTTATGCTTTTTACAGTTTTGAACTGTGAAAATAGCAATTAGCGTGAGGTAAATGCCATTGTACATTAGGTACAAAATCTGAAATACTGCAAATCATCCTAAAATCTTCATTAAGAATCACTGAACATTCCAGATGGCAGTGGATAACAGAGACAGAGGCAGGCATATTTTTATAAATTCAAGAGAAATCTGATCTACAGAGCTAGTTCCCAAACAGTCAAGGCTAAACTGAGAAACCCTGTCCTGAAAAGAAAATCAGGATCAGTTGAGGAAACAAGTCAGTCTCATATCACAACAGATATTGCTACACAGGATCAAGTCCCAGCAATAATCACTGACCTCTGACCCTTCCTTTGGCCTTCCTTTAGACTTTTTTTCATGATCCACAGGTTGCTGTTAATTTCAAAGAAGTAAAAGCTGTATTATTGTATTAAAATCTACTATTCCTATAATCACAAATTGCCCCACGAATACAATCCTGACTACATGAATACAATCTCCTGTCCTCAGGAGGAACTCCAGGCATACATTGTGGTCAACAATGACCAGCCAGCAGATTCCATTGGTGGCCATTATCAGACACAGAAAAAACAAAGACACACACTTGCTAAATTTCTGGTTGCTCTACACATTCCCTCAGATTGATCAGTAGATGCCAGGCTATCTACAAAGGCATCAAAAGCATTAAGTTTGCTGAGCAGTGACACTCCACATCCCACTGCATTGATTTTGAAGTCTTGGTCCATAGGAGATGAAGTATGATCATATCCCCAAAGGTCCAATTCTTTTGACATTTGGTAGATAAACCATAAGCATTGGAATGTGGAACAGAAGACACTTTTCACTTTATTTTTACATGTTTCTCTATAGAATCAACTATTCAAAGGCTGCAGGCAGGGTCCCTTTTACAGAATTAGATAAGCCTTACCTTTTACCCCATGACCCCATCTATATCTGGGCTTCCAATGTTTCTCTTTGTTCTGTGACCTACAGAAAACCTTACAGTCCCAAGCATTTGCTTAAACAGTTGAAATAATATAGTGCAACACTGTACTAAAAAGAAAAATATGTTGCTCCTGGCACCATGGAATCAACCTTTCTATAGAGGCAGGATGACTTTGAGACTGGACAGCCAAGTGTCATAGAAGCAAGAGGAGTTGGTCTCAGGGGAAAGAGCCTGAGTGACTCATATCATCTCTACCATCCCAGAGAAGACTGTCAAGATTAACCCCCCTGCCATCATCCAAAGATCTAGGGGCAGGTTCAACACACTTCTCCTAGTGTTTCAAGGTACCTATAACTTGCACTGTCTTTTTTCCTTTTAAAATTATTAGTGTATGAGTACACACAAATGTATTATGTGTGTGCATGCATGTGTGCCTATGTGCATGTGTTGTTTATGTGAATGTTATCATGTGCACTCCTGTATGCATGTACATGTGTATGTTTATGTATAAGTATATATGTATACATGTGCATGAATACATGTGTATGTTTGACTGTCAGTGTGTGTGCACATGCATATGTCATAGTGGTGTGGTAAAAGTAAAAGGCAAGTTACAGGAATTGATCTTCTCCTTATGTTGTGGCTTCTGGGTTTGAACTCAGTCTTACTAGCAAGTACCTTTACTTACCAGGCCATCTCCTCTGCTAGATTTTTCCTCCTTTGTTCCTTTCTTTTAAAAAAAAATGTTAATTAGAATCTTTTTTGAATAAAATAACCTATGAAATACTTTTTGTTTATTGTTTATAAAATATTACATATTTTAACAATGTATGAATTCAATGCTGTAAGATTTTATATGTAAGTATTTTATTCTATGAGTTTATATTCTACAGAATAGTCAAAGGTATTTAAATTAGCTGACAAATCCCTTTACCAATAAAGGAAACTATTCTTTCATTATTATTTTAAAAGGTTCAGAATAATTCACTCACAGACTTAAACTATTTACCTCACTCGATTGTGACTTCTCAGACTCTGTTTTCACAGCCTAAATTTGGGGGAGGGAGGAGAACAATAATAAAAGAGGGAAAAATAAATTAAAAAGATATACTGGAGATAATTTACTAAGAATGTAATTGATTTTCTTCAACTAATAGTTTGGTATTATTATCAATATAAAGCTTATTACTTAAGTTGATCACACACTTCAGATATTGCTATTCATATGGCAGGTAACCATGTGTGTATCAAAGACAAATAGAGAGTTTTACTAATAATACTGTAGTAAACATATAAACAACATAAAAAAGCTTTCCCCCTTCGAGTCCAAGGGCTCTGTCCTTCTAAGTCAGTCACACACACACACACACACACACACACACACACACACACATATATATATCAATGAAATACTTACCCTGGTTCGGGTACAAAGTGTCAAAGAATGGGGGGCAGTGGCAGAACCAAGGGACAGAGAGCAGGAAAGTTATTTTTAGTGCCAGCATGTGCTTGATGGTTAAGCCTAGAGGAAGTCTGTAATGGAATCATGCTATTACGGAAAACCGTGGGCTGGAATAATAGCATGTGCTGAAGTGACTAGTAAATAGAGATGCTGGGCACAATGAACTACATCACCTGTTCTCTATGCCTTTTCTTACCGGGTCCTTCCATCTGTTTGTTGACTGGAATTGCCTAATATAAGAGCATAGCCCCAAGAGTAATTTAATTTGTATCTGACAATCTACATAATGGACCAAAATGTTCAAATCAAGACCGATACTTCTGACCTAACACATCCCCATGCATAAGTATCTAACTCCATGAGGATTTAGGCACATAAACACTAGCGTACCAAGCAAGTCTTTCATTTTGGGTCTATAATTTTTCATGAGGATTTCCATTTATAAAATTAATTTTTAAGGTTTCTTCTTTGTGTAAAAACTGTTATAATCTTGTTTTTTCTATATATATTTCCAATGTTTGACTATGACCCAACAAACAAACAAACAAACAAACACACAAACAAGTCACAAGTGTCATCATTATAAGCTTTCTGAAATTCCATCCATAGTTTTAAATACAATTTTGTAAATTATATTACATATTCTTAAATGTAGAATGGTATTCTAAAGTTCTAAGCATGCTTCTGAAGAACTTTGTTTTACACAGCTTTAACCAGCTAAAAGTGACCTGTCCAAATATGCAAACAGCAAAACCTCCATGAATACATACAACCAATATTGATGGAGGCAAGATAAAAATCAGCACAAACTTGATTCGTTCTTTATAAACGTCCAAGGTGAGCAACCACAAAGCAGTCCTCCTGTCTCCTGCTGCTCTTCCTCTCTGGGCTGCTCGAGATGTAGCAAAACCTCTACTGAACTTTTGTTATCTGAAGAAGCTAAGTCAAATACTGTTTTAATTTATCATCTCTAGGGCTTTGAGGTGAAAGTACCGTCATCTTCATGAAATGCCTCCTAGTTACACCAGTATTTCTATTGGATGGAGGGAAAAATCAAAGTTCATTATCAACTGTTTTTCTAAGAAATCTAGGGTCCCTTCACACTACATATCTACTGATGAATTTTGTTTGTGTTTTTCTGATTGTGAATCGTCTTTTAGTTTACACAAGCTTAATTTATTAAATAATTTACAAAGAAATAAGCCAGGTAATATTGTCATAATTAGAATATATTAATGTCTTCCATTTCACAATTTGGTAATCAAGATATTGCTTGGGAAATCTTCAAACTAAAATAAAGATTGCATATTCAGACCTAAGCAGCTATTAATATACAATGAAATCAATAATCACAAAAATTATTTTTTGTAGTAATGGTATGAAACTCAATACTAATCAGACAACTAATGTGTTAGGGTCCATCAGATCAGAAGCACCAGGACTTTAAGTTCAATTAACACATAACTAGCTATGTTTCATGACTCTCAGAAACAATAACATGCCTCTTTTCAGTAAATAATTCAAGATCTAAAAAGTGAAATAAGTTCCCAAAGTGGTGTGAGACGGAGCTAGAGTTGTGCATTCAATTCCGGTGCTGCATGGTCTCTTCCTTGTCTAGCAGTTCATTCACAGTGGGCATTTGCTATGGGACAGACACAGTTCATTGTTTCCCTACACAATCTTCTGAAATGGGTGCTATTATCATTTTTCTTTGCCTTGGATCAACTGGTATCCTTTTCTTTTGCTTCTGTGGTCACTTAGTGAAGTTTTTTACTTGTAAATGTCTACCAAAAACATTACAATTATTACCAAAAACCAAGAATTCCTATTCACTCAGTTCCAGGAAATTTAGAGAGATTATCTCTTCTTTCCAAAATGTAATTAAGGGCAAAAAATTCCAGCAGTGACTCTTCTTAAAGAGTCTCAAACAACAGAGGATAATTTGCACATGTTTCCAACTCAAGAAGAAGATGCTGACTTCTAGAATGTGAGTCCTAACCTAAGGAGTGCATCTGTCAGTGAGCAGATTGCTGACAAGCAAGTTAAAGAAACATTCACTCAGCTTATCCCTCGAAGGTTCTTTACCTTAGTTTCTGTAGTACTCATACTGGGAGACTTGCCAGTGGCAGCAGAGGAAGCTGTCACCTAGAAAGAAAGAATAAAAGTCAGAGTTGCCATAACCCCCCCTTAAATTTGCCCTCAGCTTTTCTTCACCACACTGCCCTTACTTTCCACCAAGGTTTTCCCTTGTTCCAACTGGTATTGCCAGCCAGTCTTTGTGACCAGATGGGTTCACAAAGAGTGAACTGTCTGTTACATGCTACATAATACTAACCAGGAGGTTTTTTTTTCTTTTAATCTTCAGTTTCCCACACACAATTTTTCTTCATTAGATAACAATTACCTTGCAAATTTATAAACTTTGTTATAACTGTTAATATTACTTTAAAAAGAATATGTACTATGACACTTGTTAGAATCCTTTCATAACTTTGTTTAAATCCTAGCTAGGTGTTATTTTCTAGCACCTGTGACTTTAAGTCTCAGTTTTTCAGACATGTAAAATAGGACATAATGTCTATTTTGCTAGTTTTATAAGTATTTGTGATAATTGTGTAAAATGTATATTATATTATACTAGCACATTATTTCTAATATGAAGTAGTTTTTGTGAGAAGGAATTCCCACATGCCTTTGAATACTTGGTCCTGCACTAGTGATTTTTGAAAACTATGAAACTTTTTAAAGTGGAGCTTGGCTGGAAGAAGTGAGCCATTAGATAGCATGGTTATGGGAGGGCTGTAATCACCAAAACTATGAGCTGAAATAAACCCTGCTTTCTTTACATAAATTATTTCAGGTATTGTATCACAGCCACAAGTAACTATATATATTATAAAATTTGAAGAAACAAGTACACAACACAAATGGCAATTGTCCTTTTAATGCCATATAAGGAAAAGAACATGGAAGACAGGGTATAGAAAGAATGTTGCTGTATTACCTGTCTCATATTGGCTCTTCCTTAGAGCATAAGACTTAGCAACTAAAAATTGAAATGTTCTCCTTTGGAATGTATAGTAGAGGTGGAGTCCTGCAAGTGAATCATTAGTGATGCCCAAGCCTGTGGATGCATGCAAGTATTGAGTATTATTCCTTATTCCTTTACTTAGCTTGTATCATGCTGATAATATTAAAATAGGTATTTGCCATTTTGGCAAATGCCAACTCAGGTTCACTTAAACCCCTTCACATCTGAGTCCATTAGAATTCACAGTTCAGGGATTTCATCTCACACAAGTTGCTGATTTAAGCAACTCACTGTCAATATAGCTGTAACTCTATTAAGAAGGTGGGAAGAGTCTATAATGTGGGTTCTGTCTTCAATGCCTGACCCTGAGCCACTTCAGAAGCTATGTCAAGAGGCATCATAAGCCTCTCACTGTTCCTCTCTCCTTTTCTCCTACTCAGAGTCCCAATCAAGAGGATTGCAGTATGACTCTGCTACTACCTAGTTTCCATGACTAAAATCACTTACCCACAGACTTCGGCTAACACTAAGGTAGCTCAATTAGGGTAACTTACAGATAAAGGATCATAGTTTTAGCACACTGTTCAAACAAAAACACATGAGCTTACTTTTTTTTCTGAAAACTCATAGGCAGCAGTCAGGTATGTGTCCCAACAGCATGTGTGCATATTCTCTGTCTGTCTGTCTGTCTGTCTCTGTCTCTCCAAGCACTATAATAATCTCTCTTACACATTCTCTTTAGGATAAGAAACTAGAACATATAAAAAGATAGATTTTCTTTATAGCTAAATTAGTGGAGAAATATATAAATAGCCATATTTTTCACAGAGAATAAAATTTATTGGGGGTTAAAATGCTCATGCATAGATAAGCCTACCTCTTACAATGTAAAGATAGAAATGTTCAATTTCTAACCAAATTCAGTAAGTTTCCATTGCTTCAATGGTTTTCTTCATCTATGTCAAAAAAGCAGCAGAAACAAGCTGGGTACACAAATGTTTTTTATGATGAAAATATTTAGGCAAAAATTAAATTTTAAAATATTTTTGTCATTGATTTTATTTGTATGAGTATCTGCCTATGTGTAAATATATATATATATATATATATATATATATATATATATATATGTGTGTGTGTGTGTGTGTGTGTGTGCATATATATATATATATGCTATGTGTGTGCCTGGTGCACAGAGAAGTCTAAAGATAATATCATGTTCCCTGGAACTAGAATTATGGATAGTTGTGACCCACAATGTATGTGCTTTGAATTGAACCAAGATACTTTGCAAGAGTACCAAATACTTTTCTCCATGTGACTATCTCTCTGGTTTCATCAAATGTTAATTTTAAACATCGAAATTTATTAAAATATTTATAAGATAACATATCTTTGGATTATTCCTGCCCAACTACTACTCCATTAAATAATCCATAAAAGTGAGCCTCATGTCCAATAATGAAGACATTCAATGGCTCACCAGAAATTATTAAAACCTCTCCATATACTCCATGCAATAAAGAAGCATGGTCAAAATGGGACTTAGACATCAGCTACACCTGCATGGGATCCTCCATGGAAATTCCACATTAAGACATATAAAATTTTCCAAAACTGAAATATAAATACTGATTTTTTTAAGGACTTGTAAATGGAAATGACCCCACCCCATTATTATCCCTCTCAACTCTGAGTAATTACACCTCGTTCAGCTCTTATTCTATAGATGAAGGCAAGGAATGTCTAATGTTTATTATCTCATGTAAAAGACTGAGTGAATATACTTTCATTTTGTATCATCTGAATTGCCAACTATGAACGTGAATATCAATAGTGAGTAAAAAGTCATGAAAAGTTAACTCCTAGATCTGTAAAGAGTATAATGAGCAATGACCTTGTTAATGACTAACACAGACTTTAAAAAGATGAGAAAATGGAATCTCATATCCAGGGTTCACCACAGTTTACTGGTTCCTTCAGTTTATGTGGAACACAGTGTGAGCCTGTGTTAAGTTCTGGGGATGTGTGGTGAGATCAATAGATATGTCTTTGCCTTTGTAAAAGGCAAAAGCCTTGTCAGGGTTGACATGAGTTAAACAATCATTCCAGCAAGTCAGAGTCCCATGGGAATTCAGTCTATGGTATGAAGGTATGATAGATTATATATGGATACAGGATCAGGGGGAACCATATAAACAAAAAGCCAGGGAGATGCATCCATAAATAAGGCATGCATAGCAGTACATGATAGCACAAACACCAGGCTCATCATGTCCCAGCACTGCAATGCCTAGCACTCATGCTACTTTTCAATATTCTCATACATTCACTGAAATACCTCCATGGAGCTAGCACTGCATGTCAGACTAGAGAGCAACTGAACCTATACATACCCTTCCAAACTCAAGCAACGTCCAAGCACCTAGAGTAGAACTGATTATTTCTGTGAGCTACGGAAGGATCAGAGTAACATGCATCAGAGTAATTAATGACCTGATAAAAATAATTCACCATTCTCCCATCAAAGAGCCATAATCTAAAAAGCTAATAAAATCTAATTCCTCTGCTCCAGGAATTGAAAATATATACAATAAGACATAACTATCACTTTGAGTAGTTGAGTTCAATGACGTCAAAACAAGTAAACAAAATAAACAATCACACCAAGCAGTTTTGTCTCATAACTTAAATGATGTAGCAGAAGTGTTAAAAGGTTTCTCGTGGGATAAGACTCTTAACAAACGTCCAACACAAGTGTGTAACACAAGTTACATTAAAATAAAACAATGCTGATAAGACATTAGCTGTAGAATAAAAAAATAAACATTTAATTTTTAAATTAACCTATATTTTCTGGCATTATTTTAAAAAAATCTTCTCAAATTTGCATATTCATTATTGTACGAGTCCCAGAAATTTAATAAATGAAGTATCAGAAATATTAGAGAAAGATAATTTGCTTTTAAGACCCCTGAAAAAAACAGAAATGGTTTTATTTCCCAAAAGCTTCCCATTCTGGGCATATAAACCTTCCCTCCTGCCACATCTCCAATGCTTAAGCAGAATGAGCAAAGTTTCCTACTGTGCAGTATATTATAAAAACCAGAAATTGCTTCACTGGCCTTTAAAGTTCTTAAGTCTCCAGTATTGCATCATCTTCATTCCCAATCCTCCACTACAGAAATACCAGTACATCATATCCCTGGGACATATACCATAAAACATCCCTATCTTTGTTATTATCATGCAGATGTCAATGGTAAGAACTTTTTTTTCTCTTAAAACATGCATATCTAATGTGCTCTTTAAGGTACATCTCCCAGTTTTCAGCCTGGCATCATAACTTCTCTACCTCAGCCAGTCTTGCTGAGAATCCTCCTTCAACTCCAGGCCACTCCATCATAAAGAGGAAGTGAACATTATTGCATCATGAATGGTCTCCTCCACCAAATGGATCTCCTTTAAACAAGCTGTCTGTTGACATGCAGTGGGTATGCAGTTCATACCCACTACATCTCTCTCTAGGGCCTTCCCCTGAATGTGTGTGTCTACTGAGACTGCATGAGAAGGGAAGGCCATTTGTGAAGGTGGAATAAATTTTGCTTCTGGGAGCCCCTGAGGGTTCTTATAAATGGGAAAATGTGAGAGAGTTGAGCTTCTGACAAAGGGACAGGCTTCTGGAAAAATCTTTTATCCAGTCTCTTGACATTAATTCCAGGTAATAGAAAAATTATTCCCTCAGCTTCTTACTTACTACAAAGCAGAGACTTAAACTTAATACTTGGCTGCCAAAGGCATTTGGCTTCTTCCCAGGCAAATTTGCATGACTTTTATGATCCTCACTACCTCCACTGGAGCCTGCCAGCCTCACTTATAAAGCATCTTTTATTTGTCTGAGGTTAACTGTCATCTCAAATGCTCATTTTTTAATAAATTTACCTTTTCTATCTCTTTCTGAACTCTGGCTGTCTGGTTTAATTCAGCTGTTCTGGCTTGAAATGCCTCTCCAAGCTGACTGACACAAATTGGCTTCCCTTGGTTGCTGACTGAATTGCTCTGATTGGCCTCAAATTGACTGTGGCAATCTGTTCTAATTTTCTGTCTCTTTCTC